TAGTAGTAGTAGTAGTAGCAGCAGCAGCAGCAGTAGTAGTAGCAGTAATAGTAGTAGTAGTAGTAGTAGTAGTAGTAGTAGTAGTAGTAGTAGTAGTAGTAGTAGTAGTAGTAGTAGTAGTAGGTCGTAGTAGTAGTAGTAGTAGTTGTTGTTGTTGTGGTAGTAGTAATAGTAATAGTAGTCTGCGTCGTAGTATCGGGTTGCGTCTTCTGGTTCGGATTCGGACGTTTCGTGTTCGATTCCTTAATAGTGATCCTGTCCGTCAACTTCCCCCTCCTGCTCTACACCCTCCTCCTGCTCCTCCTCCGCCCCACCCTCTTCTCATTATGCGTACTCCGCATCCTCCTCGGCCTCTTACTCATCCTCCTCTCCCTTTTCCGCGTCCTCCTCCTCCTCCTCTTCCTCCTCCTGTTCCTCCTCCTCCTTCTCCTCCTCCTCCTCCTCCTCCTCCTCCTCCTCCTCCTCCTCTTCCCCTGCCCCTCCTCACCCTCGTTCCGTAGCCATGCTGGTTCGAGGCTTGAGCTTCCCAGGGAAACAAGTGGATGCAGCTAGTCCGTGGCTAGTCCCAAGTTCTTTCATCGCGCCGCTGAGCAGTCCGATTACCTCAACTGTGGAAGCCCTATGCGGGCTATGTCAAGTGTACGACATGCTCGTATAAGTGGAACTGGAAGGGCCGCGAGAAGTGTTTTAGTTGCGGTAAATCGTTGGAGTCGTCGCCAACGCCGCTGTGGCATGAGAAGCTAAAAAGAATCTAGGAGACCCGGATCCAGCAGGCAGTCGCAAGTGGGAACGCTGACGGGTGGAAGGAGTGGGCATATTGGCCCAAGTCCCGCCGCCATCGCAAGAACGGGGGGGGCTGCGGGGGCGCACGCTGACACGCAGGAAGCTCCCACAGCTGAGTAGCTCCGCGTTGGCGCTGCACGCAGCTGCGCACCACCTGGACTCCTCGACGATCGAAGGGCTCAAGCAGCAGTTACCGCCGCCCGCCCCAATCGTCCAGCAGGATCCTGATCAAGAGTGCTAGCACCGATGCGCCTTGGAGCGGAAGGCCAAGCTGGCCCTGGATGGGGGCAGTGGAGTCTGAGGCGAAGGCGCACGATTGGCACCTCGAGCGCAAGCAGGCTGCTCTCGAGGCGGCGCAGGAAGCTGTTCGCGCACCGCGCGCGGAAGGGGTGGCACTACGGGCATTGCAGAGCGCCCGTGGCCAGCCCCATCAGCTGCGCGCTCAGTCGCGGGAGAAGACGAAGCCAGTTGGCGCGTTCAACCTCGCGGCGCCCATGCAAAGCGGCGATGTCCAGTTCGGGGCGGGGCCCGCCTTCGAGCCGAAGGACCTCGAAGTGGACGAGTCCGAGAAGGAGGCGTTCGCGGCGCTGCAGGCCAAGTTCGCGAAGGAGTCCAAGGCGATGGTGGGCGAGCTGTTCGGTGAGACGGCCAGAAAACTGGGCCAGCGCCGCCGCGAGGCCGCAGAGATGCAGGAGCGGCTTCAGGCCCAGCGGCAGCGGCGCGAAGAGCCCGGGGGCGAGTCAGAGGGGAACGGCACAGCAGGCGCAGCAGCCCCTGCGTCTCCATCGGCAGCGGCAGGCGCGTCGACGGCGGCAGGCCACAGCGGCCCAGTGGCGGCTGCCCCGACTACTGCGCCGACCGATGGCGCCACCGCTGCCTTTGCTGCCCCCGGCGGAGATGACGCAGACCTGGGGGATCTAGTAAGGAGATGCTCGCAGCCACTAGGAAGGCCCAAGGGCTGTCCCTTAACGGCCTTGGAGCATGCGCTACGGAGGTTTCCTGGACATCACTTTCCTCGAGCTCAGCACTCACCGCGCGGGCGGGGCGAGCGGCTTCGGGCCCCGCGCTCACCCGCGGGGCAGAGCTAGCCACGTCGTCGCGGGCTCAGCACTCACCTTCGGGGCAGAGCGAGCGGCTCCGGGCCCCGCGCCCACCGCGCGGGCAGAGCTAGCCACCGGTGCTGCGCGCTCAGCGAGAACGCGCAGCCGGGCCCACCATCGGATGCAGGAGGCCGCGGGCGCGAGGGCGGTCGACGCCCTCCTTCCCGACGAGCGCGTCGCTAAGCCCCCTGACGAGCTGAGGCTCGAGAGCGACAGCGAGGGCTCCGCTGCGCATCGAGGCCGATGTCGCCCATGTGCTGCGAGCTCGGCAAGAGTTTACAGCGGGGCCCATCATCGGACGCAGAGGCCGCGGTCGCGCGGGCGGTCGACGCCCTCCTTCCCGATGAACTCGTCGCTCAGCCCCCTGACGAACTGAGGCTCGAGAGCGACAGCGAGGGCTCAGCTGCAGATGGAAGCCGATTTCGCGCGCGTGGCGCAGCGGCGGCAGGTCGCGGGTCTTCGCGGGCATCTACGGCGACCCCCTCAACTTCAACGGACGCGGCAACGGCGACGTCGGCATCGTCATCCCCCGTGGCCACGCACGACGTGGAGGGGCGTCAGATCGCAAATCCCGCCGCGGCGCTCCTCGAGCCGCTCGCGGGCTCAGCGTC